TTCTTCGATCGTGTGTGTTTTTTTCTTCTTCTTATATTGTAAATTGTTATTGCGGTTGGAACGACATTTTTGTTTGATGAAAATCAATATTTCTTATTGATATACCAAAATAGAATTTTTTCCTTTCATATTTTACATTAAATGAGAAAAACGAATTAGAATCTAACTCAAGGAAATAATTCAATCTTTTTTCTTCTATTAAATTTACAATGAAATCATGATAAACAGTGCCTAGATTACTCTGATCGTTATCTCAACTTTTTTATTTATACGAAAAATAGTATTTGCCTTTAGGGCATGAAAAAAATATTATTTTCAAATGAGTTTATAATCAATTTTTTTTTCATTCTCAAAAATATAAATCCAAATTTATTACATCCTATTATTGATTTAAATATATCTCGTACACTATGAATATTATTTTATTTGCATATATTTATTTCTATTGCTGCTTTTTCTATTATTTGAGATTGATGATTTATATCGCTTCTACTACTATGCTCATCAAATTGTGATTCAATTAAGAGACTGAGATGTTCAAAATGACAAATCGACACATTTCCGTAGTTGAATATATATATATATTTTGTATAATAAAAAAAAGAAAGATGTCAAATACAATTGAAGATCATTTAAGTTGAGGCATATGATGATGACATGTAAAAGTGCCGATCACTATCGTTAAGTGTATGTTTGTCATTCTAAGACAAAAAAAAGAGAGGGAGGAAAGAATGAACATAATTCTTTTTGAATGCATAAAACAAAGAGATTGATTGAATTGATGCGATTCTTTTTCCTTTCTTTCTCAAAGATCTCTTTTTTTTCTCTGATAAGAAGAGAATCGTCTAAAGAGGATAGAAAGACTAATGATATTAAATAGTTCCATAAAGCAAGCAACCATTTCTTTTATAAAGAATAAGGGGAAACAAAAATATTGTTGTTCACATATTTTTTTTTGCAGTGCTTTATTGATGAGCCCAGTTAGTTATGAATAAATCATCTGGAGTGTCTGCTGATCAGTCTCATCATAATAACAAAAGTCGGAAATTCTTGTATATTATACTTATTTTTGTTGGCATTATTATTTTATTGGCTAGTCTATTCCTTATTGCTATTATCTATAGCAAAGTAAAACCAAGTATGCTGTTTTCCTTTTATTGTATAACTATTTTCTCTTAACCAATTCGAATTGTTTTAGGAACACAAAAGAAAAGTGGAACAGTATTTGATAGTAATTTCACAGATTCTTATTCTAGTAAGTAATCAATTCAATGTACTAAGATTTCTTTTTTTCATAAAATTTATTCATTATTTACTTAGATCGATCTGAACAAGGTAAGATAAAAAAAATAATTTTGAATTTTTTTAATTAAATTCTTTAATATTAGCATGTTTATATGGATATAGTGAGTGTCGTTATAATGCAACATGTACTGAACAAAATGAATGTCGATGTATATTCAGTTGCTCTGATAATCGTCAATCTATTGAGTACGAAAATAAATGTCGACTTGCTCAAGATATATGCAAGTCATACTATGAAAAAAGTAAGTGAACGATCAAGATTGGAAATATTTTTGAAGAATAGATAACTTTAGAAGATTTGACATGCTCATCAAAAATCTGTTCTCATGGGGCAAAATGTGTAATAAACGATAATGGTTTGCCTCGATGTGATTGTCCAAATAATTGTAATGAATATATTCAAACAATATCATCTGATGGATTAGTTTGTGGTAATGATCATGAAACTTATGAAACAATTTGTGATCTAAATAAAAGAGCATGTCAAATACAACAAAATTTATATCCTGCTTATCTAGGCAGATGTCGTATGTTTTAATAAATTATTATATAAATGTATATCTATGAAATAATTTTTTTAGAAAATTGTCAAAATTCCAGTTGTATTTCAAATAATCAAAAATGTGATCCTTATATTGATTGTTCATCTGAATATTTACCATTATGTGCGAGTAATCTTCATAATTATTCAAATGAATGTGAAATGCAAAAATATGCTTGTCAATCAAATATAAATCTAACAAAATTACATGATAGAATATGTTATCCTGATGAAGAACAACAACTACGCAGAGGTAATAAATATTGAAAAATTTTAAAAAGAAATCGACTATTTTTATTATAGCTTGTGGAACAATCAATTGTTTAAATGACAAAACATGTATGATTGAAAATGGTATGGGAGTATGTCGATGTTTATTTAATTGTTCATCAGAAAAAATTCAAGTATAATAAGAAAGAAAATTAGTTTCAAACATTATTTTTTCATTTATTTAAAGATATGTGCTTCCAATGGTCTTCTGTATCAAAATTTATGCGAGATGAAACGTGATGGATGTACACGTGATGAAAATCTTACACCAATTAATACTTCATATTGTAAATAATTGAATCTTTTTATTTATTTATTCACTTTCTCGTAGAGAAGAGTCCAATAGAGATAAATTGTTTGCTTGATTGTGTGTCCGTAGGGTCAAAAAAACATCGAAAACCGATTTTTCGAAAAAGACATTTCTAGAGGTATTCCGATGCGGGCACTTCAAATCCGATGTTTGTTGGGTGACCAAGGAGGGAGCGCAAAGGTCAAAAAAACATCGAAAACGGATTTTTCACGATTTTCAATTGTTTTTTCAGTAAATGTGTAGAGGATACATTTCTACGAGAAAGAGCTAAGCGAGTCCTCGGACGAGCACTACTTGTTTTATTTAATTTAATTAAGGTCTATCAATATGTGATAAAATTTATTGTCCATATGGTCAATGTAAACATCAGTCTACAGATCAAATTGAATGTGTATGTAAACAATGTTCAACAAAATATTCTGAACATGAAAAAATATGTGGAGATAATGGTTTTACATATCCGTAATTTATATTATATGAAAATAATAGTTTTTTTTGTTATACTATTTTATATATATTAGAACGCAATGTTTACTTGAATATGATGCGTGTAAGAAACAAATCGATATAAAACCAAAACATATGGGACGATGTAATAATTGTCAAAATATTATATGTCCATATCATGGTTATTGTCAATCGGAACAAGGAAATTATACATGTAAATGTCTAACAAAAGCGAATTGTTCAACTATAAGAGTATGTTAATAGAATTTATTTTTCTTATAAAATAATTGCAAGTATGTATATATTAGAATAACAATTCTCAACCAATATGTGGAAGTAATCGGGAATTATTTTATAGTCAATGTGAAATGGATATACGTTCATGTGAATTAAATACACATATTTATACTATTTCACCTCAGGATTGTATTCCAGATAAAGATCAACCTGGTATAAACAAAATTGGAAAATGTTAAAAATCTAAAATTGTTTTTCTATTGTAGAATATACTTCTGAATGTGGTTATGATGAATTATTAATAGATTTAAAAACAAATCATTATATTGAATGTGGTACATCTAAACAATGTCCAATAAATAGTTATTGTAATAAACAAACGAATCGATGTTGTATAAAAAGTAGAATTCAATAGAAAAACAAAATTTTTTTTATATTAAATCAAGAATATTTTTAGTTATTAATGCTATTTTACCATATCGAAAGTGTTTATCTGATGAATATTGTGGTCGGAATATGATTTGCTCATATGGTCTTTGTCAATGTGCTAGAAATGATATGATACCAGCAAGGAAAAAAAGAGAATGCAGTAAGATTTTGTTTTGGTGTAATATTTATACATGAATATTCTTATCTTAGTTGTGTTACCATCGTATATATCTGGTAATTCAACATGTAGTATGTCTCCATATGGATGCTGCAGGGATAAAGTTACGATTTCACCTACATTTGATCGACATGGTTGTCCAGGTATATTCTCGTCTTTTATTGGAAAATAAAATATTTTATGAATGTATAATAGAATATTGTAACTGTCATCCAACTGGTTCATTACGATCATCGTGTGATCCAAAAACAGGTTCTTGTTATTGTCGACCGGCTGTTGATGGATCGCATTGTTCATATTGTGAAAGCGAATACTGGGCTTTTTCTCGTATATTAACACATAATAATACTGGCTGCACTCGTAACTAATCAGCAAAAAGGAAAAGTTTATTTTTTATTTAAAATCTCGTTTAGCTTGCGGTTGTCATCCATATGGTTCAGTACGAAAAGATTGTTCACAAGATACTGGACAATGTTTATGTCATTCATATACAACCGGTCGTCAATGTGATAAATGTATTGATTTATCATTAACATTAACTGATGGTGGATGCGTTAATTGTAATAGAATCATAAAAAATTGAATTTACATATTTGTCTTTTTTGAAATATTTTAGTAAATAAAAATCGTCGTCGTCGTCAACGAACATGTCAAGATTTAATATGTCGTTTTGATGGCATATGTCAAATATCAAATGATCATCCTTATTGTGCATGTGATCATATGATTTGTACTGATGATGAACGAGATCCTATGGATATTTGTGCTTCGGATGGACGAACTTATAAATCAAAATGTGATATAAAACGACAACAATGTTTAAAACAATATGAAATTATTTTTATGTATGCAGGTGTTTGTCATGGTAAGAAAAAACTCACTTATATAATTTAATTTTTTTTATATTTTATTTAATTATAAGGCGATGAAGATTTGCAGTTAGAAGAAAATATTATTTTCGAAGAAGAATTATCTACCATACCGATTGATTCAAGTAGAATAATTTCGTTATAAAAATATATATATATTGAATATTTGAATGATTTAGAACGATGTATAAGCAATATTGATTGTGGAGAAAATATGGTTTGTTTATCAGAATTTTGTGAATGTGCAAAACAAAAATATCAACGTATACCTGGACCACGTTGTATAATGCGTAAGAAAAAAGTCTTGTTTTATTTTATCTAATAGTTACTTTACAATTATTTTAGCTAAATTAATGTCCATAGATTCAAATAAGACAAGTATAGGCTTAGTTTTTCTGTTTGTTTAATAATAGAAATATATATCTGTCTGTCTTTCTTAGTTAATTCTATTCGTCGTACATCAAATGATGTTTGTATTCAAGGAAATCAATGTAAAAATCATGGTATATGTCAAGATCAATCAAATGGAAGTTATGTATGTTTATGTACATATGGATGGACAGGAACTCATTGTAATGAAAGTAAGATTCTAATTATCATAAAATCATTCAGATAGATTAACTCTTAAAATTTATATGAATAAATTATCTATCAAGAAATTAGTATAAGACTTCATGTTATGTATAATTTTTTAGAAATTGAAATAAATTTTCCACATTTTAATCGTCAATCTTATTTTGAATTAAATTCATTAACATTAATCAAATATATTGAACTTATATTTGCAACAGAACATACTAATGGTTTACTTTTATATTCTCATGATAAATTAAAAGAATTTCATTTTATTGTTTCCATACGAAATCAAATTATTGATATAACGTATGACTTCATTAAATTTGAAATAATATAATAAATCTGTTTCTTTTTAAAGTATTCGTTCTCTTCGTTTTATTTCTACAATTCAATTATCAAATAAGATCAATCTTAATACTTATGTTCGCTTACAAATCTATATTTTATATAATGAAATACAAGTCAAAATAGACAATGGAACTATTTTATCAAGTATGTAATACCGGGAGGAAACAGCGAACTTCAAGACTTCGAAAGAGTTCGAAAACTTCGAAAGACTTTATGAAACTTCATAGTATGGGGGCTGATGGGCGAAAGGCTTTTCAGCGAAATGATTTTTCTCGATGAGGGTATGGATGAAAAGTGTGGGTGAGGGCGAAAGGTGTTTCGCAGTTGTGAATTTCGCGCATTTTTTATCGCTGAAAAACCCGTTCGCTGGTATGTTTTTCGCTCAACGGACACCATATTGACTTCATGCATGAAATCTCTGTTGTTTAAACCTCGTCTCTTCTTGGAATACATGCATCCATAGAAACTCTAGAAGACTTCATGTAACTTTATGAGACTTCATTAGACTTCAGGCGTGAAGTCTCTGTTATTTCCCCCTCGATGTAATATATAAATCTTGAGGGTGTGGGTGTGTCCTTTTATTTTTCACCTGTGCTTCTATACCTACATCCACCCATTCATTTTCCGTGTAAACTTTCAGAAATATTCTGCATACTTAGAAAGAAAAAAAACTAAATTTTTATATTATAGGATTATTATCATTTGATATTCAATTGAAAGATAGATTATACTTAGGTGGATTACCAGTATCTTTGCAATCGTAAGTAAATCTTATTATTATTTATTAAAAATTGAATTGAATTTTTTTCAAGTGTCTATCAACAATATAATGTTGATGATGGTTTTCAAGGTTGTATTCATGAATTTTCAATTAATGGTAAACAAATAATGTTTAATAATTCACAATTAATTACTCAAAATATTAGTTAGTATTTTTTACCAAAATAAAATCTTTAACTTTCTTAATTTATCTAAGATGAATGTACAATGAATCCATGTCGATCAATAAAATGTCAACATGAAAATCGATGTTTACCAGTAACAAATAATGATATGAATAATTATAAATGTTTAGACAATAATTATGCATTAATTGATCGATGTTTAATGAAACCATGTATGATCAATCAACAATGTATTCATGTCTATCCAAATGATTATCAGTGTATTTGTTTAAATTGTTCATCTGGTAAGAAGAAACTTGATTAAATGTTGAGAAAAAATAATTTTATTTTACTTGTGTATTGATAGATAATCAATATATTGCGGAATTTCATTCGAATAGTTATATTAAATATGTACCATTTGAATCATTAGAAAATACCGGCAAATTTAAAATTGAGCTATGGTTTTTATCTGAAAATTCATCAGGTATGAGATTATTTTTAGAATTTTATTGTTTACTAGATTTAAAATTCTTGTTTTCAGGTTTATTGTACTATAGCGAACATATCAATTCAAAAAAGGGACATATGAAACTTTATATACAACGAAGAATGCTTATATTTAATATGATCATTGGTAGTAAAAGTATTTTACTCAGGTATGTCTTTATTGATGAAATCGTTTACGATTTTCGACTAAATCTAGTCATAAAGCCCTTTGAATATCTCCGATAGAATCATCAGAGTTCCGATTATGACATTGAATGCGTCTGCGCTACGAGTAATCTAAGAAAGGAACTGCTTCGGTTTATATCAAATTCACGAGAGTCAAAAATTCGAAAAACTGTTGATGTGCAGCTCTTCTGACTTTATTTCTATTTTTTTTAGTTCTCGATATCCAATCGAATTAAAAACATGGCATCAATGTATAATTGAAATTTATGGTCAAAAAATCACCTTCATTGTCAATCAAGAATCACCTGTTATTTCATATGAATTATTTTCTTCTAATATTTTATGGCCACGTTCATTTACATTTATTGGTAATCTACCTAATCAATATCGATCAACAAATTCTCATATAATCGAAGGATTTCAAGGAGCAATTCAAAAAGTAAATTCTCATTAATTTTCTAAATTTTTCTATTTTCTGACAATAGGTTATTCTCAATAATCATTCAATAAATGATATACGTCATAATGCAATTGAATTATTTAATCTATCTGAATATTATGGTTATCCTTGTCAATCAAATCCATGTCCATCAAATCAACAATGTTATCAACGAGAATTAAATAATTATACTTGTATTGAACAATCCAAACATCACGATGCATCACTTGAACTTGATGGAACAGTGAATGTTATCTATTCATATACACCTTTGAATTTAAATCGAAATTATTTCGATTTATTATTGAAAACAAAACATTCATCTGGTCTAGTTTTTTATATAGGTGAAACATCTATTTCGTTTTTCTCGAAATATTTATCGTTGATACTTGTTAATGGATTTTTACAATTTGAAACAAAAATTGATATAAATTCCAGTGTTGTTGTTGTAAAATCTAGAATTCGAATTGATGATGGTAGATGGCATCGTGTAGAAATAGAAAGGTATTTATTTATTTCTTTACTTTCTCATAGAGAACTGTTCAAAATTTAAAAAAAAAATTGTTTTAGATTCCGTCGTCGTATTATCATGAAACTTGATGATAGTCATCGCTATCAAACTGTATTATTAAGTAAAGAAACAGAGTTTTATCCCAATCCATCGTATATATATATTGGTGGTTATAATCGATTATGTAATTATGATGAACAACATTGTCGATCATATCGTGGATGTTTAAATAATATTACTATTGATCATAATTATCTTAGTTTAATAAAAGGTGATATTAATCAACATCGTCTATTAAAACCATGTTCTTCTAATTTGACTAAATAAATACTTTTCGTTTTGTTTTGTTTTTTCTAATTAGAGTATTTTATTCCAGTCGAAACAGTGTCTTAATTATAGTATAAATATACTAATTAATTCTAATGATAAAAATAGTTTTCTTTCTATCGATTTATGATTTTATTTTTTTATTTATAAAATTAGTTTATTAATATAAGAAATACTCTATTGTAAATTTATAAATGTGTGTGTTTGTCATCGTTGTTACTTGACTTTGTTGAAAAGTGTTTGTATGATAAAATAAATACAATGTTCTTTTAAATTGTAGTTTGACTAAAATATTCAGTATGAAAGGACGGGCATGCGAGAATTCAAGAGAAACAATTTGTAATATAGTTTTGTGATGAATATCTCATCGTGTATATTCCAAGAGCAAAAAATAATCGAATGAAAATAAATGAAAAAAAGCAACAAGAAGACCAACGGATATGAATGCAAAAACAAAAAGGTAGTGAAGCATACCATAAGCACATATCATCACGCGTAAGCTATATCATAAAAGATGAATCGAAAAAGGAATGTATATATGATATAGAACGAAGAAGAGCACGAGATGAAATGTATAAAACATCCAACATATATCGAAGATAGAGTGGGATGTATGTGTGTGAAAGAGAGAAAGTGAGAGGGGTATGAATGCAAGCAGATGCATGAAAGAGGAAAGAGAGTATATCATGTCCAGTGGACATGACACATAGTAAAATATCATTTTGACTATAAGAAATACATATTATCTGTTGACAACTTGCTATTTCAACACTTCTAACTAATTTCTTCTGTGACGTTTTATTAGATAGTAAACAACAGGTCACTAAAAGTGATTAAGTGATAAGAAAACTGAATATATAAAATACGACAACTTTCAAATTTTACTCGAAAATAACTTGCTAATCATCTCCGTTAATAACCAATTGAAAGCTAAATACAATGAACCAGTGGAGTAGTAAGTAACACAAATAATTACTAAAATAGTAAATAATAAATTTCTTTAGGTGGTCTTTTTGATTGTTT